ACACCATGAATTTATGTTGCATCATTGCACGAACTTTGAAGAAGGAGTGAATTTTACACGCTCTTATTTAATTTTGGTTTTGTCGTGTTATACGCTCTAAAAGTCTACAGATTAACTTTAAATCACGTTATTCTGATCGAAGTTGGTTTATGTTTCAGTTTTGAGCCTATCTAATTATAGGAAGTTGTATTCCTGTAACTTAATAGTTATGCATATTCATTTTTGTGTACTCATTGGTTTTTTGTCTCTGATTTATAAAGGTCATATATACTCATGTTTGAATCTTTTGCCCCCATTCGCTATGAAAAGCATTCCTATCAAAAGAAACTTCTGGGGAAGACTTATGTGTCAACTTCCGGTTGAAGAGGGAATGCAAGAAATGGTTTAACGGCACGTGCACAAACCTAACTCCTGCAGCATACAAGAGCTCCTGCAAACCTCTGGCGAACTGGCTGTGCAATGACTGCTGTAGTACGAACAAGTTTCTTATAACGGAAGCCATTGCCACTCTCACAGGGGCTCTAGAGCTTCTGGACTGCAAGAGCCCTCCACAGGGGAAGAGTGACTACTGCTCGGGCACCGATGATGTGACCGGCGTCATCGACAAAATAACCCACGTTCCTGATGCATTCCTGTTAGGGAGTGAGTGCCCTTCAGCACAGAAGAACACCCACCGTATTCCAGACACCTGTAGTGTACATTGAACCTTCGAACTTTTGTTTGAACGAACTCACCTGACCTTTAACCCACTTCCTCTTTCGATTCGTGAATCTCCTGTACTGCTTTGCTCTCTCGCTGTGCTATCATCCAGCACACTCTCCGAGCTTACCACCGTCTCGACTGCAGATAAGTGTATACCCTTTTATTCTTTATCAAGTCTCATATCGCTTTTGTGTAAATATAACTGTTCCAACCACGCTAGTCACCTCAAGTCTTTTTTACCTTGATTCAGTTCGTTAGTACTTGCACATTAGGCAGGGTACAATTAAGGTCATAAAGCGATGAAGAAGTTTTTGTAAGAGTGGCTAATTTAGGTCTAAGTTAACCCAAGTCTAACTCTTACACACCCATGCTGCCCCTACGATGCCAGACAAGCCCTCCAGTGACAGTAATGAAAAGACCAGCACGAAGAGGAGGCGTAACAAGGGTCAAACACCCGCAGCTGAAGTCACCCAGGGACTTGTAGATCAAGCCTCGTTCAAACAAGTGAATAGCAGGCAGATAAAATCGACCATGATTAGCGAGGACGACACCGATGAGCGCCGCAGTGTAGTCTCTCGAAAAAAGCGAGATAAAGACAGCGTATTGGCCACACTGTCCATGAAGGACGAAAGACATTTGCGCCGCAGAGCAAGAAAGCCATTGCAAGCAAACATGATTTCTCAGACAGGTCTCTCATTCTCCACAAAGTGGAAGAATGGCCGGTCTACGATCCCGAGGTTAGGTTCGAGCATGATCTTAACTTGGTCAAGCCCTTTTAGAAAGGCTACTTCCAAAAACAGAATCAGGCATAACTATACACAGCTTATATGGAATTGGCCAAAAGTTTGACTCTGCAGTAGATCAGCCAGTATGCCTTCTCAAAGACGTACTAAACTCCAAAGAAGAGAGAGATACTATTCTAAGCAATTACCAAACTCTTAAAGGACGCGTTCCGATTTATGCCTAGCGGGCCATGTCAAAAGACAGTTTGCGGCCCTAGGATTAAGCGAACGACGCCAAAACGGCGAAAAGAACCTTAAGATTAAGGGTTTTCCGGTTGTCAGAGTTCGCATTTTGATGATGTCGAAATCCCTGTGGGTAGGCCGCAGAAGCATCAAAGTGAATTGGCAGTTTGCTACACAAACGCCCGCAGCCTGTTGAACAAACCGACTGAGCTGGATAATATGATAGACTCCGGAGACCCGGATGTAATTATCATCACAGAGACTTGGCTAGCACCCGACATCGCTGATAACGAAGTTAACGTACCAAACTTTGAAGTAAATAAGCCTCAAAGGAAGTGGCGTAGTCACCTATCTCAAGAAATGCCCAACCGTGCGTAGCACCGAGGCACTTGCTCACAAAAGTGAATCGTGCGAACTTCTACGCTACAGACTTAAGTGCACAGGCCAAGATATTGACCTCATCATTACATACCGCAGTCCTGGCTGCAGTCCAGATGACTTCCTAATAGAGAAGCTAGGCTCCTGGACATCGAAATGTCGAAGTCTCGTAGTCGGCGACTTCAACGCCCCAACAGTTGACTAGATAAGCCTCACAACCCCATCTTCAGACAACTCCTTTGATCATAAACTGCTGGAATCTAGTATATCGTTAGCTCTAGTCCAACATATCATCAAGCCCACGCGCTATGACTCACAGCACTCCACTTCAACTCTGGACCTAGTGTTCTTCCATGGTGAGGATGTGGATCTCATAAAACATCCTCCTTTAAGAAGAAGGGATCTCTCTGTACTCCCTTTAAGTTCTTAGAAGCAGCATCATGGGCCAAAACCTCAGCTTTACCAAAGGTTTGAAAAGCTGATATAAGTGTGATCATCTCAGCAGCCAACTAAGGGAACTGGTATACCAACCCTGAGTCGCAAGTGGAAGCCCCATGGAACCAATTTAAACAACTTTCCGCCCAAGTAACTGAACCTTTTATTCTTTGGTTTGTCCCAAAGAGTAATAAACATTGCCCCCCTTGGATAAACCGAGAGATTCATAAGCCACTCAGACTTAAACACAAGTGCTGGAACCTGTCTGTCACACTTGGGGCTCATGAGACCAGGAAATTATACGACACTGTTAGGGGCAAAGCTATTGCAGAAATCCGCCAATCAAGGATGAAGTTCGAAGCGTATAAATAAATAAATAAATAATAGTATATTCTCATTTTGTACATGAGGGACGCCAGTTTACAGGCATCATCAATATGATAAATTACATATACGATTAGTAAACATATTTAATAATAGTAATTTAATAAAATACATTTTTTCCTACCTGTGTAGGACACACCAATTGTACAGGCATGGATAAGTATTATTTAAATTATATAAATTTGGTTCATGGTAAAATTATAAGGTTGCAGTCATTTTGTCTATGGGAACAATATGATAACTAGTCATTCAATGGAGCACATCAAGAAATATAGAAATATTGTCTTCGCATTAACAAAAAAAACCCAAATATGTTTTGGATGGATTACAAATACTTGGGAAAAAAATAAAGCTTGAAGTAATTCCTCCATATAACTTTGGTGTGTACGGCATCGAGTCTTATTCTTGATAATATCTGGCTCAAAATGCCAAGGCACGAACTTAGAAAATTTTCTCGTGCCTGAACTTCAGGAATAAAACATCCAGTGGTTTCCCAAACCCGACTGTTGTCAGTGACACAACCGAAGAAGATCAAGAAAAAGCACAAGCAACGGCAGAATACTTCTCCCATGTCCTTGCACAAGAGTCGTTACTCGCCATAAGATCATCTCTGGATGTATTAGAGGAACACGGGATAGATTCCGTTGACGTGGACCAAGACATCGTGCTCAACTGCCTCATGAAACCACATGTAGTGAAATCAGTGGCCCCTGATAATCGTCATCCAAAGGTCACACAGACAGTCCATTGACCACGATCTTCAAGCTATCTCTGCTAAATGGAGTGTTACCGCGTGACTGGAAAGATGCCACAGTAACCCCCATCCACATAGAAAGATAAAGACAAAACCCTTCAAATTACAGGCATATTAGTCTTACAGGCATCGTGATCAAGACACTGACGTCGTCTCACATAGGCTTCAGCAGAACCTACGACAAAGTTCCTCACAAAGGGCTACTCATGAAGCTGGAAAGTCTTTGTGTCACAGGCAGGTTACTAAACTGGATTAGGGAATTCCTTATAGATAGGGTGCAGAGGGTTGGGATCAACTCGAAACTCTCTTCCTGGACAGCAGTGCGTAGCGGAGTGTCAAAAGGCAAGGTACTTGAACCTCTCCTATTTATTTTGTATATCAGTGAGTTATCCCTGCTCACCGATTTCCCCATGGTCCTATATGCAGATGACTTAAAAATTTGGAGAGAGCTGAAGGGCAACAGTGATACGTCCACGTTGCAAGAGTACCTCAACAAATTGTCAGTGGTCCATAGAATGGATGCTCCTGATCAATGAGGCAAAACGTGCAGCCATGCGCATCGGACAAGCAAGCATCAGCCTCTACGAACTGGAGGGAACAACACTCCCATCAGTTCAGACTCATTTGGATTTAGGTGTCATAGTTACGATTTAAAAACTACAGCACACTGTCGTGCGGTGGCTGCACGTAGTTTCAGATCCTTATGGGCAATTCGCAGAGCCCCTACTAGAATCACCAGAGATATGTTCACCTCCTCATATACATCTCTGGTGAGGTCAAGACTGGAAAACTGTATCCAGGCAGCAAGTCCTTGTCTTAAAGGGGACTCACACATTCTAGAAAGTGTTCAAAGAAAGGCAACACGTATGATTCTCGGCATGACTAACTTATCATATGAGGAAAGACTAGACAGTTTAAATATCTTCTCCCTGTCATACCGTGGGCAGAGAGAGGATTTAATCACAATGTTTAAAATTTTAGATGATGACTGCGGACCTGACCTATTCTGTCTTTTCCTTCCTGCCAGGTCGGAACACCTTAGAGGATATTGCAGGAGAGTTCTAAAGCCAAGAAGAAATCATATTGCTGTTGAGTAATGGTTCTCACACCAAGTCATAAACTCTTGGAGCTGACTCCCAAAAGAATTTGTGTCCGCAAACTCAACTGATTCATTCAAGAAGGGTTTGGACAACCACAGAAATTCACTAGAAAAGCATTAAAATAGGCCCCAAGCCTATCCTCAACCAATAGATCTGAATATTCTCGTATATTAACCATTGTACCAAAAATTTCAGAATTATCTTCATCTTTTACCGACAGCATCATGCTGATGTTAAGCGCATGAAATTACCTAGTTTTAAACATATAGAACAGGATTACCCGGTTAATATGTTACGGCCAGATGGTATTTATTCACTGTTTATTCAGTGAACTTTGAAATGACTGATAACGCAATTCTTCAACGTAGTGAAAATTTATACTCATTACGTTTTGATAAGAAGAGATGGCTAAGAAATCAGAAGGTCTATGCAAACTCATCCAGAAGATATCGGACATTGGAACTATTTGATTTCAGACCCAAGGCCTTTCTGTAGGTCGTAGCTCATTTAGAACGTTGACTTTACCAGGTATATTTATTTTTGGATTGTATATCACGTTTACACCCTAACAAACAAACCACCCTAATTTTCCGTGAATTATTTTTAGTTCACTTGCTTACTTTTGCTTTGGTTGTGGATTTCTGGCATAAGTTTTCTACCATTTGAACGAATCTCGGGACTTCATATTAAGGTTTGTTCGTGGTAACTTTAACAAATATTTATCCTAACCTGCCAGTAATCAAATATTTAGGTAAAATGCCTTTAACTTCCATCAAGAAACATCTGGCCAGAGGTAATCAGGTAAAGTTATTGGTCTATTACTAATTCGTCTTAACAGTTCTTATCAGAAAAATTAGGGGGAGCGAAGGGTACTGATAAAGGAGCAGAATATAGACAACTTGCGCAGGTTGGTCCAAAATCTTTTTGTTGCCATGCCATACAACATTATGTTCAGACTGTCTCACGGATCTTTAAAATCGTATTGTTAACCGTTATACTCAATGAAATAGAATTATCGGCTACCCACTCACAGAATGCACAAGAGGAAATTCGGTGAAACTTAGGGTAAATGGGCAGTCTCAGTTATGTGAAACTTGAGAGAATGTAACACTAAAGCTACACATTCTATATATTTCTTCTCATTTTCTTACTTCTTTCCACATCATCACTCACTTTCCCCCTTTTCTCTACTTTCTGAAGAGTGTATCCGACATTTCTCCCTCGTTTACGAAGAGTTCTCTGACTGCGTAATCATAATTAAACGCAAGACTATTGACGTGCATTTACCTGTGCATCTGTTAATAACAGCGGTTAGCTTCTTTTTGAATACAACAACAGAACATGATTATATTATATACCGACCTATAACTCAACAGTGAGAAAGTTCCTAGACATAAGTTATGCCACCATTTTTTCGTTCACTCATAATATTATTCTTAAGTGGGAGCTGTAGAGGGAAGAAGTATGCAGTTTGTTATTTCAATTTAAGGGAGGATTTCTAGGATTGATAATAAATGCAAAATTAATTAGGAATGCACAACATGGTCATGTGCATAAATGGTTCTACCTCCCTTAAGATTATTGATTTTTAGAGCTCTATGAGTACTTTCTGAATTCGACTCTATTTAATTGTAAAAGGGATGTGGTTCACAGAATCTAAGCCATATGAATACCTCTAATTAACACACAATGAGGGGGAGGGTATTTAAGTACTATACAAATAGGGTTTTTGATCTCAACTGGTAAAATTAGAGCAATTTGATGTACCTGTAAAAGGAACCAGCAAATATTTTGAAATTATATGCAGCTGGGATTTTTGAAAAAAATGTCCAGATTACTTCGAAAACACTTTCTGCAGTTTTACACTTATTTCTTAAATGTTCGGTTCGTAAGTTAGTGTTATTCAAAGTAGGTGGGAATTTACCCGTTAAGTTGTCTGAAGTCGTTTACAAAGTTATATAGATGTTATGTGTGTGGCACTGCATCATTTAGAGTTTAAGCTCGGGATATTTAGGTGAAGTTTTATTACTTAAAAGAAATTTAAAATGAGTCCTATGGTTTTTATTTGCCTGTGGATGCCGTGTTGAGGGTTGAACAGAACTGTTAGATGTATTGTTGTTTTTGTGTTTAGTACAATACTGTGACTAACTGCTTCTTCTTCTTCTCTTATCTCATAACTAGCTTATTGATTCATACAAAGGGTATTTTGAGAGTGCTCAAAGACGGGTTGTTGATTGCTTAGAACCTAACCCAAATGCACGCAAACGAGCATGGGCTAGTTCAACTGTAAACAAAATTCAAGGAACTTCAGGTGGCGAATCGTATCCTCATGCGGAGAAGGCTCTGTCTGATTGTTTTTCGGAATACGGTAGACAGTTAAGTCAACAGCATAATTTCAGTAAGTTTTAATATTTGGGAAACAGCATTGATGTTAACTAAAATCTCACATTATAATCAGGTTTTTTTTTCAAAAATTCTGTTTCTGATTAATCCGAAAACTAGTAGGAGATGTGGGATTTGTTAGTATCTTTTAATATCTTTTCCATTTTGGTTGTTGAATAGACAATTGGGAGTATGGTTCTCCACATTTAGGTTTTCCTATAACGAGTGTTGGTAGTAAATAAAATATTAACGTTTCTATGAGTTCTGCGTTTCATTTATTGTCCAAACATTTGCTGATTCATTTCAAAGTGGTTCACGGTTCTGTTAGACTTTTCGGGCACATGCATACTGTGCACCCTTGACTTTGATTTGCCTGCTAATTAGAGTTCACTTACCTTCGTGTATGTCCTTACAACTATTGTTTTTGGCTCAGATTTTCATAGATCACCTGTGAAATGTTAGATTTACGATTGACTTTATAATTATCCTAAGTGAACATCATGACGAAAACGGCTCGTCCAGATTTTGCCGGTCAAATTTTAGTATACTAAATACCAGGCCAATGCAATCGGGAAATCAGTGTGGGTGGCTTCTGGCTTCCTATGTTCGATGGTCTGTAACATTTCGTGCCACTGGTAATTATGTGATCGTAGTTTGCTGATTTCCGACGAAATCTCTACTGGTATAGTTAAACAGTTAAAGTTTAATTGTGACAAGATCTTGCGTCATCTGTGTAATTCCTAAGTAATTTTTATGCTACTCATTCATATAACCCTTTATTCACTTCCTGAATATGTTGTTCTTGCATGATGTTCATCATACATAGCTTTCTTCCTGCAAAGTTGGTGAAATCAAACATTTTTACTCTAAATTAACATGTTTCTTTGTATTAAAGTGATATAGATTGTTCATTGCCTGTTTTATTTGGAATTAGGCGAGTGAAACACGTAGATTATGAAGAGCAATTATAAAGTAAGCGAATAAAACATTCAGAAACCGGTTGTTTGGTAATCATATCCCTTGGTATCCATACGCTTTTGTGTGTGGGCGTTAAATAATATTCGACCAGTTAGAAACTGCTGGTAAAATCCCAGGTGTCGAATACTACAAAAACAGCTTGTATTAAGTCATTGAAGCTTATCGAAATAGCTACCTGATTTATAATATGCTTGTTTAAAGTGTAAAACATTCTATAACATCGATAGTCACTGAATAATGTTACTTTAAATAGTGGTTTATGTGTCTGGCTACTCGGTAGTTCAGCCTTAGTTTATAGATTTAAATCTCCTGAACTCTTCTCAGTTTGAAGGCATAGATGGATTCACTATATTTCATGTATAAATTATTGCTTGATAAATATTTATTTCTATTTCTAACGGGTTGTATTCGGGATGTTTGGTGAGGTCGACTTTTAAGAGGCGAATCTTCCATATTAGTGTTTCTTTAAACCATCTCAATCTGGCTAGACAGCACCGTTGACTGTTTTGAGTGGTTATCGACTAACCATAATAACTGGTAGTATGCACACACTTATATTGATTTGCATCATATTACATGAAATGAGACATTAAAAAAAACATGACTTTTTGGATTTATTTACAGTTTGATTTTCTTCTTCATTGCTTCTTTTGTTTGAATTTATGTGCAATATGCTGTAACAAAGATTTTCAGTTGAATCATTATGGATTATGTTTATGCTTATTTATTTATAAGGCCTTGCACTTCTTCGATGTGGAGAAGCATACAGTCGAATTGTGGAGTCGAAAGAACAGTCGTTAGATGAAACAAGATCCGGTTACTTGAAACCGATTTCAGAAACATTGAATCAGGATATCAGAGAGATAACAGTAAGCTGAAAATATTTTAAGCTATATACAACTACTGTCTAACTATTCTGGCAACTTTAAACCTTGTAAATTAATAGTACTGTTTACTTTCCGCTTGTATGCATTACCTCAGTTAGCTCTTTCTTTTTACCCTTGAAGTTCAAAGGGTTACCTCTTGTTTGTAAATTAGGTTAGCATAATTGAAAAAAATTTGTTTGTTCAATGCGCATTAAACAATCTGATTAGTTGGATTGTTTTAACTTCTACTGTTCATCCGTTTAAAATAATATCTGACTACATTTATTAGATTCGATATGCCTATGTGTATGCGTAAACACAGATACGTAGAGTGGAGAAAGTTGAGATATACAGGCGGAAGTGGTGTAGCTCATACTTAACTGACTTTAAACACAACTGAATTATGAAGCCTTAAGTTGGAAAGAGTCTCTTCGCTGAATATTATGTTCTTAATGTTACAATGGGAACTATTAAATTAAGTACATGCAACAAATAGCCATTTATTCCTAAGTAAACTTAGAAAAGTTAGACAAGTGTGAAAATGGATATTTTGATGCGAAAGTTTACTTTCAATTACCATATGTTAAGTCATTGTAAGGTTTTATTAAATGAACTGTTTTTCGTATAATCTATGATGATAGGCTTACGCAATTTCTTTGGTATAGCTTGAGGAAGAAGATTCGGGGGCGTGAGTCGATGAATTAGTGTTACTCATTACAGTGGTAGTATTGTCGTTATTATTGCTATTACTATTATTATCATTATTATTAGAACAAACTTGGTACATTATGGGCACCAAGACATGCGCCACGTAAAGTTTCATAGTCTGTGTGAGGGCTGCGGTACTGCCCAGACGTCCAGACCGAAGCTGGCCACTTGCCGAGCCTTCGACTTGAAGTCTGATCTGCAAGGCGTCAGGAGCTACATCCTCATGGTTGCTAGTGACCAGAACAGGTCCACTGGATCTTTCTGGATTCCATAGCCCATGTTCTCCATAGGTTTGGAATTAGGGTTTCCTATCTCCCCTAAGTAAATCAGGATGTCCACCAGTTTGGTTTTAAGTTCCAGAAGTTCACATTCTCCCTTTCACTTTTGTGAGGAACAGCCCCCACTCTGAGAAGGTAGTGAACAGGGATTACATGGTAGAGGCTATGAGCGCCTGGCCAGATGAATGCGTTTCACGAAGAGGACCGAAGTCTACCCACCCTCGACCGTATCAGGTCGTTTAAAAGGGCTGGTAATAAGATACTACTTAAAAAGACGCTCATATATCTAGCACAGGAAACATTGCTTGTGATCGGTATTGGATGTCACAAAGACAGTACAGTGCTGGGTTTAAATAGTGAGTTTAACTATCCTAATGGGGTTTGGATTCATGATGAAACAGATAACCACATGGGTAAAGAGTCGAAGACAATACTGGCTGCTGTGGTAAAGGATAGAGGAGTTAGTGTAAAAGCGATAAACACACTGTGCTTGAAATATTCACTGAAAATTACTTCAAATGATGTTTAAAAACCAGGGAATTTTGATTTAGACTTTATTGTAGTCAAAATGAGATTAAATGTTAGGCTGATGTTATAGTGTAGTTTATAACGCATAGGAAGTCTGCATGTTTCAGTTACTCTATTGAACTAACACTGCTTTTTTCGAAGATCGTTTTGCAGTTTTTCAACCCTCTGTTATTATTATTGCTAAGTAATAGAAATTGAAATCACTTAGTATTTGCATTGGAAGAACTGCTTAGAATATAATTATATGCAGACTAGATGGGGTGGGTGCCTTGCGCTGCGGGTTGGCCACCCCTCCGCACACCTCTTGAAATGCTCCCATATGACCGGGCGTCTTAAATAGCCTCTCCTGAGGAAGTCCTACTCACTGCCTTCACGTGGCGGAGGTGTTTTTCACCAAAGTGAGAGGGCGAAAGCGGATGCCCGGCGCTCTTCACCGGGTTGACTGTCCATTGGATGACAGTCTAGGGGAGATGGCTAAACCCTGATTCCAAACCTCCAGCGACTGGCGTATGAAGCTCACTGGAGCTCACCGGCAGACGTATGGACAAAGGGCTTGTTGGATGTCCTGGATGTCTGGCCCCATTCAAAAAGGCGTATGAACCGAACTCCGGTCACCGGCTGCCAATGGATAGTGGACTCCCTACTCCACTCCTACTGCCTTGTAGGTCACACTTGGTTGTGTAAAGGCTAGAGCTGCACTCTCAAACAAAAGGCCGAGCGATTCTGGGGACATCACTCGTACCAAATTCCCATGAAACTTCATGAACTCTCTTATCGAGATGTTCATGAAGCCGGCTCATCCTCCCGTAGGAGATAGCCGAAGTAAAGTAAAGTAAGTAAGACTAGATGTATTAGATATAAATATGTGAATTGGCTGCTTGATGATAAATCTATCAATCAGATGTTAACACCAAGCAGTGCTCGGGGAATCCAGGTAGGCTTTAAGTCCAGAAAGGAATGTATTGATCATATCTGCACCCTTTAGAACGTACTGGAACATACACATACTTTCTCAGCATCTAATACTTGCCATATTTCTTTACCTGAAGGCAGCATTTGACTCGGTTCATTTGCATTCTGGATCACATCTAGTTCCACTTAACATGTAGAAGTCAGATATGTGATCTAACTTTTTATACAATTTTGAACAGGTAACTGGCAACTGTCTTTGAACGTCAGTGTGTGTATTCTATCTCCAGTGTCAAATAGTATAGTATAGTTTGAGGTTAGGCGCAGAGTGTTAAACAAACAGGAGAAGTCAATCGATGGGATTGTAAAGCTAGAGCACGTGTCATGTATACTGAGCCACTGCCTTTCTCGTTGAGTAGTGTTAGCTAAATAAGGGAAAGAGTCAGATGTAGCTTCACGTTCCCGTTCATTTTAGTTTCTTTGATTTTTTCCCTGTCTACCATCTTGTGTCATATGGAGTATGACAACTTGAATTACTGCAGTTTTGTGCGAAGTCCTACGTTGAAAACTCAGCTAGTCTTAATCAATCAGTTGTATGGATATTAGCTAAGGTTGTTTGATAAAAATGAAATCCCATATTCAATGTATATATATATATATATATATCCTTCTTGTTGTATGTTTTCAGGTTCATTGAGTGCCTTATTGGTGTAGCATTGCATTATGCACTTTGTAATGTAGTGGTTATTTTTTTATACACCAAAATTTATTATTAATTCATTAATTAGTTTAAGGCCTTCAGTATAACAACCCCAACGGGTTATGGATTCGCATTCTTATCCACATTTTCAACTTTTTCACTACCTGAGGTTTTGTAAATTTCCTATTATACATTATAATTCATAAGTACAGATAAGAAAATACATTTCTTCTTCTTCTTCTTCTACTTTTCTAGTTGCTTCGGAAGAAAGCTGAAAGCAAACGATTAACTTATGATCATAGGAAACATGTCTTAGAAAAAAGTGAGTTATGTGTAGTAAATCATTTGCTTTTGTGAATGTCTCCTATTTTCCTTTTTTTTAAAGCCGTGAACTGCTTATTCTTATTTAGCTGGGTCTCTCATTCCTTTTCGAACTTCACTTATCATTCAAGTATACCTTATCAGGGTTACTATATTCAGATTATTTCGAATAGCCTAATGATTAATCTCTCTGTTATTCGTCTATTGAGTTCATCATAACTATGTAGAACAGATTGTGTATCGGTGCTTTGTGATAAAATGTTCACCGACCATGTAAGTGGTTCGAGTCCAACTCCCGGCTGACGCACTCTTAAACCTCGCTTACCTGATAGTAAGCCCAGGTAAAGAGGAAAGGTTGGCAGTGAGGCTAACAACCTCACTTCGTAAAGACAACACTACTGTTACTAAAACTTCAAAGCTTCAGCCTGATTCCCTGTGTTCCACTCGGAACACAAAGGAATAACGAAAAAAACAACAACTGCAGGACACATGGATTTGTGTATACATTTCGAGATGTAAACAAACTTAAGTCTTTTATGAATTAAATTAAAGTGGAGAATTGAATACCGACCGCAAATAATAACACTTATGAAGAAGTAAATAATATTTCATTATGATTCAGTCATTTCTGAAAAAGATTAATTTTTTATCATTTAAATGATTAATATCTGTTTTTCAGGTTTGACCACGGATTGATATCAGTTAGAGAATCATTGAAAACCACTATTGGAGTACTGGACAGCTGTTTCGTCCTAGTTTGGGACTCATCATCAGTAGGCGCCGACGGGGTTTCTAAGCCAGGAGCTTCTGGTTACGAGGCAAGCTCGTATACCATTCAGTCACTGGCACCCAATTGAATGGCCAGCCCATGAATTCTAACTTCTACCAATTTGTGATTTTAGCACAACCACCAGCTAATATCATCGGCGAGCATTTGTCCTCACTCCTGACTGGCTGGTTTCAACGTAGAACTTTGCACCGATGTGCAGCAGTTCGAGTCTCCACACTTCACTTAGCACACAAAGCAAGAGAAGAAAACAGAGATATGAGGCGAAAAGAGTAGTAATGTGGAAGAATAATATAGTTTTATTGGATATTATAAATCCTCATTTCCGACAGGATGGACCCCATTGAATGATGATCTACGAGCTTGCCTTGTAATCGGAAGGTCCTGGGTTCGAACCCCAGTGGGTGCGTACTGTTGGTGAGTCCCAAACTAGGATGAAACAGATGTCCAGTACTCCAATAGTGGTTTTCGATGGTTCTCTAACTGGTATCAATCCATGGTCAAACTTGAAAGACAAATCAACTCTTGAAAGATTAATATTTATTAGTGACTTCATAATGGTGATAGAGTCATGAATTATTCTTGACGGTATTTCGATATTTATGTTTGTTAGTCATTTTGCTGTGATAATAATAGAGCGGTTGACCTCGCCTAGTTTATTAATGTAAAACAACCAGTTTGACAGAAGAGGCAGCAATGACATTACTTAATAAAGTGAACATAAAAGAGACAGAAGTGATGAACATGCCTAATCAACAACACTGAGGATCAGTTAATAACAACAGGACGAATCTAAAGGAAGTCACCTCTTACACTTATGTAGGCTGCATCGTTTCTACTACAGGTGGGGAGGCACAGCTGAGGATATCAAGGCCAGGATCGGAGAAACAAATCAAACCTTCATTACTCTGAACTCAGCACAAGGAACAAGATCGGGATTCTTAACATTAATGTCAAATTCGTGCTTCCAGCGTGTCCATTTCTGAAAGCAATCTCCAACAGCCTACTGCAAACTTTTATCAGTAGCTGCCTTTCCTCCATTCCGAATGTTAGTTGACTTATCAGAAAGGATAAACAACAATGACTTCTGGGTACAAACCAGCCAAGAACCTATTACCCACAAAATGCATAGGAGAAAATGAAGATGGATCGGACACACGCTGAGGAGACCGTTGAGTGGAATTATGCACCAGACTTTATAGAGGAACCTAAATAGGAAACGACAAGTTGTGTGTAGGTCTAAGGGTGACATGGAGAAGATCGTGTGAGGAGGAAATTAAATCCTGTAGGGAATCATACAGTCAGCTAAAAAAGACGAATACAAGGAAAACGGTCAAATAAAAATGTTCTCTTGTGGCCTTATTTTCCACTCAGAACCGAAGGGCATAACAATAACAATAGTAATCAAAGAGCAGCGCCAAGATTGCTTCTATTCAGTTTCAAATCAGTTTCAATTTCTTAGAACTTCATACTTGTATACAGAATGCTTCAAGTTAAAAGCCTTTATCTCTGTCAAGATGGTTCAGCTCATAATGAATCAAATGTGTTCATATTTGTCATAATTGCGCGTTTTTTATAATTGTTCTCCATAGGATTCAATTTTATCTTGTTTTCTGTTGAAGTAGTCATTAGTTTCTGATATTGTTTACTTTGTGTGACTGACTGTTGTCCTCTCTTGTAATTGTTAAATTGATTAGCTTAGCTGTTCACTGTTCGTACACAGTTTATCTCTTAGACAGAAACTTACTTGACCAAAGTTTTTGATGTTAAGCTAGGTAGGTATGTGACTGATTCGCTTTCAGCCACTGAGTTCTTGATTCCGATCCTCACCCGTGCCTACTGTAATCTAGGCAACTAGATAGTAGCATCAATTCCCTCATTTAATGAGTATGGTCTACAGCCTAGTTAATTGAGTTCTTACTAATAAAAGTCTACAGACTAGTTACTCTGAAGAGCAGATGGCACCTAATTCTATTATTTAATATATTAAGAACACGTGAATCAGCAAAGCGATCTGTACAGTTATTTATGGGGTCTATAAATGCAATATAGATTGCTCTTGGTCGTACTTTACATACGACTCTGAAAGAAGTCTCTGCTGATGGTGCATGATCAGAAGTAATAGTATGCTGCACGATTGAGCTATTAACTGTTCTATCTTCTCCTTTTGACAACCATGATGGTAAGTGTTCATGGACACGTCTAGACAGTGTCTTGATGCTACGGCCTGTTTCCTTATCTCCACATCTGTACGTATATTCATTGGATTGCACATTATCATTCCTTTGCTTTCTAAGCGGAACATAGGGCTTCAGGCTTGTGAAGTTTCAATAACAATGTTTTTTTAAGGGACTAAGATCGCTAGCTTCACACAGCCTTCCTACCAGCTAGTAAGCTAGGGGGAAGGGTTAGAAATGTGTCGTCCGGGAATCGAACCCTGGACGACATGCTCGATAGACAAGCATTCTACCATTAATCTGCTGGTGTAGATACTTTTTAGACTTTTTTCCTTTTATTTACTCTGTATTATTTTATACTCTCTATTTATTCATTTGTTCGATTTTCCTTTTTCTTTATAATATACCCATGACTTTAAAAATTACAGCCAACGCTCAACCGGATGATGCATTTGAAGAGGCTAAAAGTCAATTTGAAGAAGCCTTAACAATTAGTTCAAAAGCAATGTCAAATTTCTTGGATGGTGAAGTAATTATCTGTGTTTGAATTGTTTAAATTCATCTTCATATTATTCTTTATGCGAAAAATAACTGCATGTGTTGTTTTACTGTATGAGCATTCATCACGAGAAAGGTTTCAGTCAACGTGATGCATCATAAATGTGAATAATCAATTAGGCTGGTAGGAATGAATATATGTGTAAAACTTGAGCACAGTGGTGATATGTAATTTCATACTATTATTATTATTATTTGCTGGATGACGTTTCGAACTCAATTAATTGTTCGCAGTCATTTCAGTCAAATAGTATTATTTGCTATATCATTATTAGTACTATTTACACAAAAAGATTAAAACATCAGAAGGAGGGAATTCAAAGCATCCGTAGTACTGCCATGCAAAGAGGGGACCTCTGAAACCCTATGTAAAACAAGGCAGGAATAAAAGTGGCATTCAAACTCACGTACTCAACTAGAAACAAATAATGTCGATTCAAGGATAATGAGGAGCCTACTAACCAGAGTAATCTAGTTTTATCTAATACCTTGTAATGATTGTGAGGTCAAAAATATATAGGTTGAAGTAATAGACCACAGTCATTTAGTGAAACCAAGACTAGTAGATTCTAATAAGATAAGAAATATAGAAAATAGCTCAGCCGTAGTACCTTTGTAACAATAAAAGACAACGGTCAGGCAACAGATCGTTTATTAAGGAAAATCAACACATATTTATAGATTTTAATGTACATTATTGTAGATTATTGTTAATAGAAAATACAGTCTTTTGATTGGTTGTTTCTCACAGAAAGTTAACCTTGCATCTCTTTGTGGCTGTGTCAGATCATCTATATGCTAACTGTACCCGCCTACACAAAGCCTTTGTTCTCATTTTCTTAACACCAATATTGGGGACATAAACATTGACATCAATTACTGTCTACCAACTTTGGCTAGCAGTCAGCTCTCACCACATCATATGCAATTGCATGCACATCCATACGATAGGATGGGACAAGGTGATATTTTTAAAATCTAATGCGGACAGGGTGGAGGAAGAGATTGATGACTGTGAAGCTTTATTTTTCGATTTAGCTGAGAATATGTGGAATAGGAGTGATGCAACACCTGACCCAGGCATTTGGAAGCTCCTACTACCTCTACAATGATTGGGAAGGAATGAAGAGAGGTATAAAGCTTAAATTGTATAAGTTGTATAGTTACAATTGATGATATGATTATGAACAATAAGTTGTGTTCAAAGCTTCATAATCCAATCAATAATACTGTTACACTGTATGTGATATATCCAATAAACAAGAAGGTTAAGTAGAAAGAAAGGTTAGTAGAAAGTTCGAACATGCTGATTCCCCAGTCTGATGAAATTAGATATGTGTAAATGTTTCATGACAAAATTATAATGTTGGTTATCAGGGTTGATCTGTAGGTGGTGTATCTTGTATCTTGTCATTACTTACGAATATCACTATGTAGCTTCTGTGAGTGAGAAGCCAAAGCGTCAATTGACTTACTCATTGTGAGTGGATAGGAAAACTCAAGAGTGTTTTATTGTCGTGCCTCTAGAACCATGAACCCGTGTATACTACTGTCAAATAAATAGCATCGCAGCAACAGTCGTATAAGAGTGTTCCACTTATCGAATCTCTGTATATCCAGAGATGAATTGGACTACATGACTAAATGTGTTTAAAATAACTGGAATCAATTGACTTAATTAGATCTATCTGTGGTTACGAAACTGGTCGTGTATGGTATCTCACCGTCTCTTTAGTCTTAAACATGTCAAGTGACTTTAAGTAGACATCACATGTTTTTTTGTGCCTATTGTATGGTCTCAAATGATAATTGAACCTACTACTGTAAAGAACAAAAAAGACCGATAAGGCTCGAAGTCAATGTTTATTAGGACAAACGCATTGTAGGCGCATAAATTTGGTATACCTTATCTTTAATGCCTTATTTGCACATCATTTGCAAATTGGTCGAATATCACCACATTCAATAGCTTGTTCGATTCTTCACAGTGTTTGTAACGTTCGTCGATTGCCTTTTTTCTAGTGTCCAAAACATATTGTTACTTTTCTGAATTCATCTGCTGACATACTACTTAAATCTGATTATAAGTAGCACTCACCACACTACTAGTGTAACAACAGAAGACAAGGGCCAGGCAACAGATCGTTTATTACGAAAAATCAACACGTATTTATAGATTTTTATGTACATTATTGTAGGTCAATGTTAGTAGAAAATACAGTCTGTTGATTGGTTGTTTCTCACACAAAGTTAACCTTGCATCTCTTGTGGCTGTGTCAGTTCATCTATATGTTAACTGTAACCGCCTGTCCACCTTGACCTTTGACCTCAATTACTGTCAACCAATTTGGCCAGCAACCATCTCTCACCACAACATGACTAATATTTGATACATAAACATTGACCTCAATTACTGTCCACCACTTGGCTAGTAGACAGCTCTCACCACACTAGTACTACTACTATTCATGATGTGATGCAAAAATATTCTCAGCATATATTGACTTCAACTGTAAAATAAGATGTTTTCCAGTTGCATGTCAAGATAAACAAAACGTGATAGACGATCATGAGGAGTTGAATTGTACTCACGTGATCATGTGAAAAATTGATGTTAGGTTTTGGCTTTTTGTATTACCTCTTTTCCCTCTTCCTAATGATTATTCCTGTTTCCTCTTTCTATCTCAAAATTTAACACTACCTAATTGTTGTCTGGTTACTGCTTTCCTGCTTTTATACACACGTGATGTCATCGTTACTAGGTAGGGTAAATGTGATAGCACGTCGTTTTGAAAGGTTGTATGAATGGAATTATTTTGATTCTAGTTAAGATTCATCAGACCAGGTAGATAGGCAATTTTTAAGTATAAACTTGGAGTTTCTATTTCATTTCTTATTCTTTTATACCATCACATCAACATTAGTCTATTCTCTTGGTTGTGAGTGTAACATATAGGGCTTCAGCTGAACATCTCCGTTTCATCGTCTTCTCTGCACCCACTTTTTAGCTGACCTCATGATTCCCTACAGGCTTTAATTTCCTCCTCACAAGATCTTCTTCTCCATGTCACTCTTGAACCAACATACAACTTGTCGTTTCCTATTCGGTTTCCACTCGAGGGTGCCTGATGCATGATGTCGTTTAACGATCTCCTCAGCTTAGTGTATGTCCAGTCCATCTTCATTTTCTTCTACATATTTTTGTTGGGCAATAGGTTCTTAGTTGATTCATTGCCGGAGTTCATTGTTGTCTTATGCTTTCTGGCCAGTCATTTGATATTCAGTATGGAGCTAGCGAAGTCAGCTACCGATGAAAGTCTGTAGTAGGCTGTTGGAAGTGAGTGCTTTTGGCGACACTTATGCCAAGTCTCCCTGAACCCACATAGAAGCACTGATCTGACACTAGTTAGTGTTGAAGACCCATATCTTTTTCCTTATACTGATAAGTTAAGACTATCTAATATAATTTTATGTATAACAGTATATACAGAGAATCTAGACTACTTTCAGTACATAAAACACTCATCATTGATTACAAAACTAACTATCGAAAAGGTTAGACAACTAAACTAGTCGATTTCATTTTCTAATGATCTCATCTTGTATTATAAAGTGGCTCAGGTGTATCTATTTACAAATGGATGTTACTTTAAATATCGTGTGATCATTTGGTGATCATATGACTGAGTTGTAGTTGTTGTTGTTGCTGCAATTCTTTATTGTTGCCACACGTCCAAATTCTTAGGTGTATGGCTAATTGATTGGCTTATACATTGAAAACTATTTCATACCATATGACATAGCAGCATAGAGTTTAGGTAGTTTTTATGAGTATTGTACGTAAGTTGAAGTTCTTGTTTTTTTATTGTCTAAGAGTCACAAAAATTGAATAACCAGGTGAATATAACAAAGCAAGTAAGGTGTAGAGCAGTAATCACCTCTCTCTCTCTCTCCCTCTACTCGAAGATTGATACATAAAGTCGTATTTTACTCATTTGTATCTAACTCAAGTGAACCTGTTGGAGTTTGCTCGGTTACAAGTAGAGGTGAGGTGTGAACTTTGTGCTTATCGCACTCATCCTAGTCATCTTATTCAGTGTAATTTCACAAAGTAATCCAGTGATTTGATTTTAAGTACACTTGATGCTTCCGTAAAACCTAGAATCTTTCATTGTTAGTTGGTTGTATAGTAAGAAGTAGCGTGCAGTCTCATTGTACATTTAGATAATTATGTATTATTACTGCTGTAAAATGCAATCAATCATTTGCAAAGTTCACGATTCAAGGTGAAATTCCATCGGAGTTTCGTTTTGAAATGCCAAGTAATCCATATCGCAATTTTTGACCTGAATGATTCCATAAGTAACATCAAAGAAACAACCTAAGGGTTCAAAAGGGTACATGTTACTGATTAGTGTGAATGGTTGAAGACTACGACTGACGTTAATCATTAATGCTTGTAAGATAAGTCGAGATTATCGAAGCAGTAGACGGGCATTCTACTCGTTTGAGCCTCAGTTTACCAATTGGGTAATTAAAGTGCCTAAGTTCAAAAATCAATTTAATCCACATGTCCTACAGGGATGTCAAGTGCTTTTTACTCTCCCATCAAGTCATTATATGATGTTGGTTCTGGACTTTTCAGGTACTAGATTTATTTATTTAGAAAATATGACAACATACCATGTGCCGTTAAACAGGTATACAAAACTAGTACTTAGAATCAAGTAACCCTAAGGTAGGTCGAGTATTCGATTTCTAGTAGGGTTATGGGTGCATGCCGCTGAAGAGTCTCAAACTAGGATAAAACACCTGCCCAGTACTCCCTGGTGGTTTTCAGTGGTGCTCTAACCAATGTTAATCTATGATCAAGACTTGAAATCGATTCATATCCCGGAAACTAATACTCAAAAATACAATACTAAAGATACAACTCATTTCATATAAAAACAATAAACTTGGTTGACCTTTTGTGAATAAACTATGCGTCTAAAAAATTATTCAAACCCCGAACATTAATGTAAATTAATATCTATGAAACAGTATCCAGAAAAGAAGCATAAGGACGCATAACTTTCATTAAATACTTGCATATTCGTGCGTTTAATGTTGAGTCCTATGTATTGTATAAAAGTTGTTTTAACTTAAACTTGGATAAGTGGAGAGAATTTCCTATCTGTGATCCATTCAAGTAGTGAATACTTTTAAAGTTCACAAAGGTTCAAGTTGAATTTGAATTAATTTTCAAGTATTGGTTTTGTTGGGAATTTTATTTGATTGGTTGGAGGATTTCATCATAAGCTGACATCATTTAGAGAACCATTGGAAAACCACCTGAGAGTACTGGACAACTGTTTCGTCAGCCTAGTTTAGGACTCTTCGTCAGTACGCACCCACCGGGGTTCGAACCCGAAATTCCATACAAAACTAATACTTGAAAATTTATCTGATGCTCACTAACGACTGGCCCTATTGAGGCAGTTAACCTTGGAAGTGGGTGGGAAGCCGTGATTAGTAGGGTGCAGCAGGTTGGAGGTGAGGCAGTAACTCATCGAAGAAGACATTGTGAAGTCGTCGCGCTATGTCATGAATTGGCAGAAGTTAGAATTCATGGGTCTTAGTGGTCTACGAGCTCTCCTTGTAACCAGGAGGTCCTGGGTTCGAACCCTAGCGATGGGTGCGTACTAATGAAGAGTCCCAAACTAGGCTGACGAAAGTTATACAGTACTCTCAGGTTTTCCAATAGTTCTCTTTCTGATGTCAGCTCATAATGAAATCCTCCAATGAATCTGAATTAGTTTGATTCATATTCGAGGAATAATGGCAAATTTTATTTTCAAATTGAAAGAATGCAGTTCATTGTGATAGGAGTACACAATGTTTTAATTTTTTCATGTAATGGTGATGTGCAAGTTGTAAAGTAACTTCATCTGCAAAGATGTTTTAGTCGGTCTTTGGGTTAATCGGATGTATCACTGAGAATAGTGTGAATATTGGATCCCTACACTTTTGTCAATATCTTCTTGTTGTACTATTTTTGATAGGGACTAGTCAGGCATAACCAATTACATCACTAAATAAACCGTTACCAAGTTACTGAGTATAATAGTGAATAGCCTTCCATCTGTATGTCGTAACGCTGCACAGTTGAAACCTCCTTGAGACACACGCAGTCATGAAACGCTTCAAAGACCAGATCGTTCAGGAAGGGTTTTCCAAACAATTTTATCCGTTATGCTGGGAATGGCGAATTAATTTTTAAATATTGAATTTTAATACTAAATAATTTCTCTTATTCCTTAGTTATTTCATACTTAATCCTACCTTGATTTATTTTATTTTGTTTGCCGTCTACGTATTTATCTTTCTTTTTTTTATTTGGCACACAATTTAAGGTGGAACAAATTGAAGCCTTATCAAATTTCGTTTCTGCTCAGTTAAGCTTTTATCAAGATGCTGCACGAATATTATCTGATCTGCGTGGGGAATTGCAAACAAGGTTAGTTCAGTTATGTAGTTCAGTAAAGAAAAGAAAATAATATGCGTTGCAATATTTCTATCCGACAATTATTGAATTATTTGTTTTCTTAGAAGTGTTTGTTAAGATAGATGTATTGTACTCAATGAAATTTTGTAAAATGCTCAAGAAATATTGAATTTACAGGTTTGATCACGAGTTGACATTAGTCTCAGGACCACTGGAAAACCTGTGAGTACTGTACAGCCGTCTCTCCCTAGCTCAGGACTCTTCAGCAGTACGCACCCACTGGGATTTGAACTCAGAACCTTCCGGTTGCCAGATGGGACCGGATACAATAGCCCATAAATTCCGACTTCTCCCAATTCGTGATATATATGGCGCAACTGCCAACCTGTGTCGTAGGCGAGGAACTGGTCTCTTACCTGACTTAGTGGACCCCGTTGGTTACTATGTCTCACTAGAATGGTTCTCTAACTGCTGCTGTCAACTCGTGATGAGACCTGTAATCAATCAAATCCCTGTGAACCAACACTTGGTAAAGATATTGAGGTAGTGATAAGAAGAGACTGTGAAAAGTGACTGTTAGAGAGGAACATTCCTTTTGAAACACCGTTTGAGCTTAGTGAAGTCAACTGTGATGATTTGTCATTTTAGCTTCTCCTTTCAGGTTGTTTACAGTCTGAGACACTCGTCAGTTTCTGTCGGTACTTTCACCCTATCAGTTAACGCGATTTCTTCTTCCATATGTCTCTGGTAAACTCAAACAAACTGTTTGATATTGTCCTTTATGATTGTTTTGCCTTATTTCTTTCACTGTGTGCTTTGTCTTAATCATATTACCAAGCTCACTTTATAAGTTGGGCACAAAGTTGATTGTGCCTGTTACGTTTGGAATACTGTCTCTTTGGCTCTTTGATTTTCTTAATTCCCCTTCCTGTTAACAGCAGTTTCTGTTGCCTTTTCTTCTGATTAATCCTTTTCGTAGAATCATTGGGTTTAGTATTCAGATATTATGGAGAAGATTTTAAGCTCAGGTAGGCGGATTGTGTTGGCGTAGTTGTCTTCTCTGAACTGGATGGTTCAGTGACAAAGCTTTCAATGTCCTCCTTCTGGACAAAATCTTCAGCGCATACTTCATTTTGAAGTAGCATTAGTAGTGGTTGTATATATTAAATAAGGGGTGATTAAGGAAAGCCACACGAAGCTATGCAGGCAGTAACTATCGGTCAGGTTAGTTACAACGCGTTTATAGGCATAATTCACAGAAAAACTACAAAAAATTAGCGATTTGCTTATAGGTTAATTTTGTTTGCATTTCGCGTTAATTGGTTATGTTGTTAGGCCGAAAATGCACGGTATCTGTTGGCATATGTTGGCTACTAGTACAGGCGCTTCACTCATCAAAGTTTATGTATAGAACAATTTTAATATACACAGAATTTACACGTGATGTCAGTTGATAGGAGACTGCAAACATAATAAACAATGCTCAGAAATCACATTTATCCAGCTTAAACAAGAAGGTTCAAGTTTAAACAAAATAAAATGAAAGCTTCATTTATTTATTCCCCTTGATGAATTTGAACAAAGTAAAAACAACAGTGGTTTGTGCAAAAATAATATGGTACCATCATTTATTTCGTTAGCTTCTCATCACTGCCTACAGTGATGTCAGTTGACAGGTGTTCAGAAAGAAGTAGTTATTAGTCTTTCTTTGCCTTGGTAACTGGATGTCTTTATTCTTTCTTTCATTTGATTACGTAATCTTTGGCTTTAACCTCACTCCCTTGACATAGTGTAATTTTGCTTGTCTCTTGCTTCTATGATTTGAGCTGAACTCAGCACATTGTTACCTAATTTATTAGTCACTCATCATCTTACGCATCCCTCGTCTTTATTGCGTAACCCCTTTTTTGGTTAAAATTGAACTGCCTGTGTAAAATCTATATAAGAGCGATTTTCTGAGCACTGTTCACTAATTACGGAACCTCCTGTTAACTGACATCATGTAAAATTTGCAAGCTGTAAGCGGATGATGAGAAGCTAATAACGAAATAAATGATAGTACCATATTATTCTGCACAAACCACTGTTGTTCTTGCTTTATTCTAAATGAAAGCTTGGATACAATGGCAAAAGAAGCTGCGTATTACAGACAAGAGATGGATAAGATAATGGATAACTAGTAAGTTGGGTAACATGAGTCCAACTCAACTCATAGCAACGAAAGACAAGCAAAATTACATTATAGTCAAGGGGAAGAGGTTAATGTCAGAAATTTCGTAATCAAATAAAAGAGAGACAGTAAAGGCATTCAGTCACTAGGGTATGAAAAGATTTGTTACTGCTTGTTACCTAACAGATCGGATTTCAGGTGTTGTTTGATGGCAATTGCTTCGGCGAATTGGAGGAGAATTGAACTATTTCGTCTGTTTTTTATTGAAGCTTTTGTTCTCTTGTGACTTACACTTTTTGGTACATGTTCAGAAAAATCGAAGGTATTTCCTTCTATCTGTTTTGTTCTGCTGTTTCATGAATCAGTTGGTGGGCAAAACTATATTCCTTTGGAAAGACCATGAACTAACAAAGCTCTTATATCTCTATGCAAAACTAGCTGACACTTATTTATTAGGAGAAAAAATCGTTCAATGGAAGTTAGCCCGATGATAATGCTTAGCGATTTTGGCTTCACTAGTGAGTTTCAATAAAAACAAAGAGATTCTTATTGATTCTTACTACTCCAATAACTTCGTCTTACTCACTATTGTCAAACTATTCACAAGTATCACTATGTACAATAATATAAACAACTACTTAGCGACACACACAAAAAGATGTTCTGTTCTGTAATTGTTGTTTGTTAACAGTACACCTATTATATATTATTTTTCGTGTTTGACCCCGGTTTGATATCGCTTAGAGAACCATTGAAAATCAGGAATTGGTAGAAGTTAGAATTCTCGGGCCATTGAATCGGGTCCCAGTGGCTGAATGGTATACGAGGTTGTATTGTAACCGGAAGCTCTTGGGTTTGAACCGTGGTGATGGTTGTGTACTGCCGATGAGTCTCAAACTAGAATGAAACAGCTGTCCAGTACCCCATGCTGGTTTTCAATGGTTCTCTAACTGATATCAATCCGTGGTCAAATTCGTAAAAACAAATCTAATCCTTACAAATTAACTCTTGAAAATTTATATATTATTGTTGTCTCTTTCTGGTCGAATGAATTGTACTCAACTTTCATACTTTTGGGTTTTATCTCTTTTATTGCTTTCTATTATTTCTCAGATTATCTGATGCGTAAGTTTTTACTTTTGTCGTTTACATGCATGCAGATTATTTAGAATGTTATGTGAGAGGAGTTAAGAGATCGGTAGTTATCATTGTTATTCCTTGAGATAACGTTTTTGTCTGTTGGCATTGTTACAATTCCAGTCAGCATAGATAGAAGAAAATGAATCTAGAGGAGAGAAAAAGAAACGCAGCAATCACTGTAAGAGAAACGACTAAACTTCTTAGGTTACATGTTAGTGTTGTGTTTTCCGAATTCATAATTACTTAAATATTTGAATGCACATGATTAACTGCGAAAATCCTTCTCTCACTAAAGTAGTCTCTGCTCACTAACAATGAGTTGTTTAATGTTCATAAGTGTGCTCAATGCCTGCCTCTACACCACCACTAGCACCTACCTTAATTAGTGAGAATTAATAAATTTAATTTTCTAAGTAACCCTGTTTGCAATTTTAACACGCGTCATTAACTTGTACCACAAAAGGCTTTAACAGTGTTTTAATAGCGAGATCAGATTACATGTGTATATATGAAGAGGAAAAAGTGCCTGTGTAGATTTGTTTAGTGAGTCTTTTTCTGAGATCATATAAGCCTATTTCGTTTGCCTTGTCTTCATCTTGAAAAAGTGGTCTAATGCTGCTCTACTTCATAGCGTGTTATTATTCCCCTGGGTTCCGAGTGGAAAATAGGTCTTCAACAACACATCTACACTTTCTTCTGTTTTCTGCACTCCTCTTCAGCTGGGTCTACAATTGACCATAATCTCTCATCTCTTCCTCCCCAAACGGTCTCCTCCATGTCACACCCTCGCACAGACGACCCACTCGTCGCTCCCCTTTTGGATTCCACTCGAGCAGTGGCCTCCATTCAGCGCGTGATGTCATTCGGTAGTTTCCTCAATGTATGCCCTATCAGTCCATCTCCATTTTCTTCTACATAATTGTTGATCGGCTCTCACCTGTTCGTTTGTTCTCAGCCAGAGTTTCTTGTTACTAATTCTTTCTGGCCATTTGATCTTCAGTATGAAGCCAGCGAAGGTGGCAGCTGTTGCTAAAAGTCTGAAGTAGCGTGTTGGAAATCCTTTTCGTGACTGTGACACTCAGTCCAAGTTTCTGACCCGTGTAGAAGGACTGACTTGACATTGGTGTTGAACAGAATCCGAATCTTGTTCCTTATGCTGAGTGCAGTGCAGAAGATTTCCAAACTGGTTTCAGGTTGATGAAAGCGTATCTTGCCTTTCCGATTCTGGCTGGCTGACTGACTTTGATATCTTCATCCGTTCCGTGTGCCTGTAGTTGAAACGATGCTGGCTTCCTAGATAAGTGAAGGAAGCAACCTCTGTTAAATCTCTCCCGTTGATGGTGATTGGTGCTGGTTGTTGTAGATGTTGCTGTTCGTTGATTGGTTACCTTCATCACCTCCGTCTTCCCTATGTTCACCTGCAGTGTTGTCTTCACTGCCAGCTTCTTCAACCAGTTTGTTGGTTTTCGCCTGCCTCTATGTCTTCTAGTTTGTGTGACATCAAACATATATCATCTATGAAATCCAGACCTTCTAGAGTCTTCTTATCGGTGTTTCAGCGTATTCCTGTCTCCTCGCTCCCTGTGCACAGTCTGACGCATAATCCAATCAGTCCACCACAATTAAGAATATCATCGGTGGTAATAGGCAGCCTTGTTTGTCCTGTATGTTTTTACTCCTAGTTTAATATTATTTGATGAATAAGGCAGTTTACCAGTTTCATAATTGTAATGTGTGACAAATAGAATAACTCTATTGTTGTGTTGATTGACTTTTTATTTTCTATCGTGATTACTCAAGTAGTTTTGTGTTAGTTTGCAAAAGAAATAAAAACGTTTTACTTTTTTTGTTCAGACAATATAAAATTTGCACATAGTTTTTCCACCCATCTAAATAATAATAATAATACTACTAATAATAATGGAATGCATTTCGCTTCTCATATCATGTAGTATTTGCACATTTTATGTGAATTTGTATGTGTGTATTTAACAAAGCAGACGATGCATGCAGTCGAAAAACTGTTGTTTTTTGTTGTTGTTGCTTAGTTTATGCATTACATTGAGTGGTGGGTGAAATAAAAATATTTGGCATGATGATACTGTTTTTGTGTGTGTGTATGTGTGAGCATATGAGCATGTTTGTGTGTTATAGTTGGTTTTTATTTTCAACTCATTGACTGCAAATAACACCATAGGAATTGCATGTAATAGTCAGTTGGTTTAATAGCTAAACGCCTCTTCGAAATCCAACAAAGGGTGGAGGAATCAGGGCATCATAGGCATTCTGGAATTTGACCAGTTGTTGGAACAATGTAAGACTATTTTTGATTGGACACTAGTCAGTAGTAACTAGTGTAATGTGTCTAGTCCTATCTTCGGTGCAGACTGAATTCTATCCATCAAACTTGACTGACTGCAGCACTTTTGTGACGCAGGTTCGAATCTCAGAAGGGATATGAGTTCCTTGAAGGTTGCAGATACACCTTGCTGACTGATAAGTGCCAACTAGCAGGAAACCTAGGTTGAGCAAGGCTTCCTGCTGATTGCTTCCAACCATCTAATACCAACAGTGTAAGACTTTCTACAGACTTCACACTGAGAAAGCACTTAGAATAGATTAAAATAGTAATTTAAAACTTCTGAAGTGGGATAATAGTGTGTTGTGAAGTGATGGGATGGTGGAGATGTTCAGAATTTTTATGACGAAAATATGTATACATCTGGCCTATTATAAACTATTTTGAGTTATTTTCAAGTGTTAATTTCGTAAGGATCTGATTGGTTACAAGTTTTGGTTAGGGATTAACATCAGTTCAAGAGCCCTTGAAAACCAGGGGAGAATACTGAATAGAGCGGGGTTTTTGTTCCCACCTTTGGGCTCCTCAGTAGCAGTACTACTCACTGGTGACCTCAGTGCTAGGGATCGAACCCACGTCCCGTAGGTTACAAGGGGGCCACTGACTGGCCCACGAATTCTAACTTCTGTCTATTATTGATTTTTACCACGAGTTATTTCAACGATTATAAATTCTTTGTGTCCCTATGATTCCAGCTAGTTTGCTAGCTTACACTGAATTATTGATTTCATCGACTGATACTATGTTTTCGCTTTCTCACTATCATTAACCCTTGTTTTGTCTAATCTAATTCTAATTTAGCCTATCTTGGGTATATATATTATTACGATTGGAAATTCAGTTTTGATTTACATTGCCATATGTCTAACCTTATGTGTTTGCTATCTGAAATTTCATACTAAAGCGGCCCTTTTTGGTTATAGCATTCCGTCATTGAAACCATCGATACGTTTTGGTTATTCGTTGGAAAACTTAATGCGATGAATTAGGATTAACAGATTTCAGAGTTTTAAATATTCACAGTTCATTGATAAACAATAGGGAGGTGTTAGGGAACTCTTTAAGACAACAGTTATGCAGGAATTCTCATTAAGGAGCATGTGTGAAACCCAATATACAGCTGGATATAATAAATTCCAAAAAGCCAACATGTGGAAGAGATTGGCTATCAAGTAAATTTAATCAATGAGTGACACTATGCACTCAACAGCATACTATTTGTTGTTGTGAAGCTGGATTGATCCTTTTATGTGGGGGGGGGGTACTGTTCCATAAGACAGATGCAATTGTTTGTTTAAGTCAACTATGTTTTTTCTCATTGATTAACCTAAGTAGATCTAATTATGTCATGGATAACATTTTAGCGTTTGAAACGATAGGTTCTAAGTTCGAGTCTCATTGGAAACACCACCACTTACTGTGTATTGCAGATACACTCAGCTGCCGAAACCTAAATAGAATGAAATGCGTATCCTGGTTACCACAGCTAGTCATCATCCGTCAAATAGTGTACGAAGTTAACTCCCCCCTCGCATCTCATGTCATCTTAAGATTCATTCACCGAATTCCCACACTAATAGTTTATGCTTGTGATTATAACTCTGATTTTGAAAGTGTTAATCTCAATTCATACATTGCCTGTTAAATTCTTTTTTTTTCGTATCCCAATATTACTGTTTAAATCTTCTTAGTGCTTCATCAGTTGACTCTGTTGCATACTTTTAATTCTGAAGTCTAATAGTTAATCTTTTTTACATCCCATTAAATTTCTGTTAATGCGACGTATATTACAAAATTCGCGTTTATATTTTGTGTTCATAATCGTATATAGCTTACTAACTGATGTCAGTCTGTTGTGCCTGCGATTTTGTGACATAGCTAAACGACTCAGCAACTTAATATTGTGTATGATTTGATGCTTCATAATTGTAATTAACCATTGGAAAGTGTTAAATGTGGGTTTAATGTCCGTGTGTGTGTGTATCTGTGTTGATAGACTAGTTGGAGGTTTTTATTACATGTGTACTAGTGGTATAAACGATAGTAACATTTCTGAAAATTGGTGTGGGTTGACGACCTGACTGGCACTAGAAATAACGCTGGGACTACGATTCGTTAA